ATCCCCAACAATTAACTTACTTCAACTCTGGCAGATTTTTAACACTAGTTGCTATATCTGATGCTTCAGGACAAAGCTTTTCCACTAGCTCCAAAGGACCAAAAAACGATTTGTTCTGTCCAATAAAAGTCTTCTTCACTAAAGGGAGCATACAGAGAGATTTGTGAGGAAAAATACAGGCTTCCAATTCTAGAATTTTAGACAAAATTTATTTTGTTACTGTGTCTTATCAGCTTATAACATTAAAAATACTCTGACAGTTTAGGAAGCACAAGGGTAACCACAAAGTTATATCTGTATTACTGATTAGCATTGTATATTAGCAGAACTAATAACATCATTCAGAAGACAAGCTGGAGCCACAGCAGGACATGACAGAGACTCCTTGAGCTGCCTCTCCTCAGCCTGGCAGCCAGTGCCCACCTTTGAGCCCATGCTTGAGGCAGTGCTCCAGCACCACGAAGAACTGCTGCAGTGGTGGGAAGTCAGAGTCCAGGGTCCGGCCCAGGCTCAGGGCTGACTGGATGAGGATTTTGATGCTGAGCTTCATCATGTTCATGAGGTTGGCACGCTCCTCCATGGTGTGACACCGCGTACCTGGGGGCACATGGGTGGGGAAAGGAAAGCTGCTTCACAGACCCAGAACCAAACAGGCTGGAAAAGACCTCTGAGATCATCGAGTCCAATGTATGATCAAACTAGGCCAGGGCACTGAGTACCAGTTCCAGTTTTTCTTTACACAGCTCCGTGGACAGTGACTCCACCACCTGGGCAGCCCCTTCCAATGTATAATCAATCACCCTTCTGTGAAGAAATACTTCCTAATATCCAACCTAAACCTCGCCTGGTGCAGTGTAAGATTATATATCTCCTCGTCGTATCACTGGTTGCCTGGGAGAAGAGCCTGACCTCCACCTGGTTACAGCCTCCTGTCAGGGACTTGTAGACAGTGACAAGGCCACGCTTATCACAGTGATAAGTACACCTTATGTACAAAGTACACCCCTGAGCCTCCTTTTGTCCAGGCTAAACACCCCGCACTCCCTCAGCCACTCCTCACAGGACCTGTGCTCCAGAACCTTCCCCAGCTCAGCTGCCCTCCTCTGCAGCTCCTCAATGCCCTTTCTGAGCTGAGCACAGCACTCGAGGCGTGGCTTCCCCAGCGCCGAGTACCCGAGGAGAATCCGCACGGAGACGCCGCGCAGCTTTTACCGACCCCTCGCCGCGGTGCCCCCGCTGCGGGGCAAAGCCCCCTCAGCGCCCCGGGGGGACGCGGCCCCGGCCCGGCCCGCGGGGTCCGTACCTGAGCGGCGGGGCCGGGCCGGCGCCGCGGGACCCCGGGATGCCGAGGGACCCCGGGATGCTGAGGGACCCCGGGATGCCGCGGGACCCCGGGATGCCGCGGGACCCCGGGGTGCCGAGGGACCCCGGGATGCTGAGGGACCCCGGGATGCCGCGGGACCCCGGGATGCCGCGGGACCCCGGGATGCCGCGGGACCCCGGGATGCCGCGGGACCCCGGGATGCCGCGGGACCCCGGGATGCCGAGGGACCCCGGGATGCCGCGGGACCCCGGGATGCCGAGGGACCCCGGGATGCCGCGGGACCCCGGGATGCTGAGGGACCCCGGGATGCCGCGGGACCCCGGGATGCTGAGGGACCCCGGCCCGCCGCGGGACCCCGGGATGCCGAGGGACCCCGGGATGCCGCGGGATCCCGGGATGCCGAGGGACCCCGGGATGCTGAGGGACCCCGGCCCGCCGCCGGACCCCGGCCCGCCGCGTTGCCACGGCCACGGCGCGGCGGCGGGCCCGCCGCCATCTTAGAGCCCCGGCAGCGGCGCGTTGCAAAATGTGGAATTAGGTACAGATGTACTTCAGAAAGGATGTTTCTCGATCTCTGTACAGTTTCAAGCCTAAGCAACAATCAGGGCGATTTAACCCTGAAACTTCAGCTAACGAGCAAGGTGTAAGTGGCGCCCAGGTGTTACAAAGGCGAATCTCAAATTGCCTTGTTAAGGTTTAGGGCTGGACTGTGTCCAGCCCTTCAGGGACCTCAGGCCTAGGGGAGGTTAATAAAAGGATGTAGCAGCGATAGTGGACGCAAAGGATGCAGAATTTATGTGCTGCAAGGACGGCCTGAAGCTGAGTTGGGAGAGGTTTAGGTTGAGATCAGGAAAAGGTTTCTCACCCAGAGGATGTTTGGGCGCTGGAATGGGCTCCTCATGGCAGTGGTAACAGCACCAAGCCTGACAGAGCTCAAGCATTTGTACATTTGTACAACACTTTCAGACACATGGTGTGACTCTTGTGGATGGTCCTGTACAGGGATAGCAGCTGGACTCAATGATCCTAGGGGGTCCTTGCCAATCCAGCATATTCTATGATTTTATGACATTTGGCAGAGCCCCCAATATAAGGAAGAAACTCCTAAAACCAATGCAGCAACTGTGCTCAATCAGCTCTGACTGGTAGAAGGTAATTCTGGCAGGGGCAGATTGTGACCACTGACCCAAGAAACTCACTGACCCAAAAGAAAAGACAGACTGAGCATGGATATCATTGACTAATAGAAGACAGAATAATAATTAATAAGAGAACTAGGGAATTTGTAACCAATGAACATTAATGCCTAATACCTAAAATAGTGAAACGTTTTGGTACTTGTGCTGGCTTTGTGGATTTGTCACCCAGCCCCCTTCTGTGCAAAACTGTAAATAAATCAAATCCCTTCACTCTGCATGGATTGGCTCCTTGCAGGCCAAGTGAAATAACCTGTTGTGGGACAACAGGGGGAGTGGGACTAGGGCCAGCTCCCTTGCTTTTTAAGGCTCCTACAGGCTCTGACAGGAGCTTCCAACCACAGCCCAGTGGCCACCAAAATCAGGTTTTAAGCCACTGCTGTTTCAGCAGGACAGTCTTGCTGTCACCTGTGGTCACACACTCTGCAGAAAAAGCAGTGGCAGAAGCCCCAGCCCTGTGCCAGTCACACTCAAGATGGTTAACAATGTTTTTAAGATTGTGCAAAAGCCTCTTCAGTGTTTTCCTTTTTGTACACACAATGTTAATTTAGGGTTAAAAATGAGTAAAATACTCCTTGTATCAGAAGAGGGAAAACAGAGTAATTCTAATCTAACTGACCTTAATAACCACAATACACACAAAATGTTGTCATCTCTGCATGCTACTCTATAGTTCATTGAATATATACTATATACAGTTTATACAATTGTATATACAGTATATAATCAATATACATTATATTCTAGATATACACATATCTAGAAGGAGTATACTGTATATTGCCTATAGCCAATGGATGCTTCAAAACTGTATATAATGAGGCTAAGGATTAAAAGCATCACAATATTTAGAATTTTTATCTCAATATTGTCAGGTTACACATTAGGAACAGATGAAAAGCTGCACAAACAAAAACACAGTGATATTTTTGGGGTGTTTCAAAGCAGTGCTAACCATTTTGATGTCTTTTCGAATTTGAATTTTTACTTACCAAGAATACTTTGCCTCTACACCTTGCTACACCTTAATTACCTTACATTTATTACCCAGAAGACTTAAAAAAATAAAATACCATGAATGAAATGCTGCTTATGAAAACACTTTTAAACTAAGAAGTGTCTTAATATCAGTTTGCATTAAGTTAAATTACTTGAACAATATTTTTTAGATGGTTGCAAATTTACACAGTCAAGTACATCTTTCGCAAAACCGTGCAGATCGATACATGCAAAATAAACAGGTATTAGACACACTAGCAAAGCCAAGCTTTAAAGATTAGGAATCAGGTTACCCCAGTGCAAAAGATCAGAGATGTGATGCTGCAATCTTTAAGAATGCAGTCACATAGTTTTGTATCTTATTCAACTCAAGAGATTTGTTTCAACATCTTTTTGAAGCCACATGCCTTGTTTACTGTAATTATTCAGCACGCTCAAGTCAGAAAACACTGAAGCACAAAGGAAGCTCACAGTTCTCCATCCCTTGGTGTTTGGGACTGCAAGTCTTTCTTGATTCATTTCCTTTAGATTTGAAGCTTCTGGCCTCTCTGCAAGGCAGGACACAATTTCCTCAGTAGAAGACACTGGTTTTAGGATGGGGTTTATGTGTTTAGAACATGTGATCAAGGGATCTGAAGTAGCAGACAGAGGTTATAAAATCTCTGGAAAAAGATTACAGCAGGCAACAAGCTCCAAGTTCTCCACAACAGGTCTTGCAGGCCTTGGCTTATTTCTTAAACATACCTGCTTTAAATTATAATTAAGTGCTTAGTCAAAGGTAAGTAATATTGAACAGGTAGAACAGGTGCCTTAGCGCCTGTTTACATTTAATATACAAGTTATTAACTTGTATTCTTATACAATTTATTAATTGTATTTTTCATACAGAATTTTCCATAACACTTATCAACAAAATATAATCCAAATCCCCTGAACAACGTGGGAAGGTTGTGGTGTGTTCCCTTACTTTACAAGGAAGAAGTGGAAAGATTATGGTAAAAGTTCCATAAAATGTGGGAGCTTCATTTCAGGTAAGACAGTATTTTATTCCCTGCCCCTTGCCAAATAATGCTGTGTGTTGTTTTCAATTCCATCTATCCACAGCATTATTCCAAAAGCAAACAAAGAAACTGGGATCTTCTGCACTTGGTCAGGTTAGATCCCAGGTGTGCAAGATGGGCACTCGGGAAACAAACCTGCGAGAAGTTTGGTGTGAGACTCTGAGATGCAGGAGAAGAGTCTGTTTTTTTAGGACAATTAATCCTCAACTCTGACTATGCAACATTGAGGAATTTTCACCAAAAAAAAAAATGAAGAAGTCCATCAGCAGTAACATTACCCCTGCTGTCACAACACAGTGGCGTGGAATTTCCCTTTGAATACTCAGTACCATTAAAAACAACAAGGTCAGCACCAAACAGAGCAAAACTGAGCTCCAGTGCTCCAGAACAATTAAGCACCAGTCTGAGACTCTGGAATATAAGGCTCCAGGCCCAATTTATGATACATTTTAATGGGTTTGGGTTTTTTTTCCCCCACTTTATAAATATTGCTGAGATTTATTTTCCGTATGATTCAACTAAAGCCATTTTAATTCAGTTCTAGGAGACCTGTTCCACAAATCTGCTAGATCCACAAATGCCAATGTTGAACAAAGCAGTCTGTGGCTAAACTGAGGGCATTTTTAGTGTAGTTAAAAAGTAACTTGTAACAAATCTGTATCTTAGTTTGCTGGTCTAGTCTCTGACATGAAAAGTACAGAGATTCCTTCCCGGAACCAGCAGCACTCGAGGGAGGATGTGGAATTTTGAGAGATCCCTCAGTGCAGTCAGGCTGCTGGAGCTTTAAGGAGAAAGAGAAAAGGCAGCAAATACAAGTCAGTTTCTCCACATATAAAGAATTTAGGCTTCTTCTGGTTATACTGCATTTCTGAAATTCTACATCTGTGTCACTTGTTTAATTTTACTTCAATACAAAACTGCAGCATCTTAAAGAAATTCAAAGTAACACCCATGCACCACTGACACGACCCAGCAGCACTTACGGGAGCGAACTCATTTGCGCACCACAAAAGCGAGTTTACTAAAGAAGCGGAGCCGTACTTGTCTTTGCCGGGCTGTCACTGCTGCCGGGCTTGGACACCAATCCCACCAGGGATGCGGACTTCAGGGCGCTGCCATAGCTCAGCGCCAAGTTTTCCGAGGCTTTCCTGGCCAGAGACAAGATAGGAGCAGACCACCGCGCTTCCTCCGGTTTCGCCTTCTCCTCGTTGCTCAGCTCGGCCGCGTCAGGGAGCTGCTTTTTGTCGATAATCTCAAAATCTTCCTCCTTTCCCGCGGCGGGCGCGGCGCGGCGCTCCCCGGCAGCCATCTTGGCAGGGTCACATGACCGCGGCTCGGGAGCCGCCCCCGCCGCGGGTGAGGGGCGGGAACCGGGCGGGTGAGGGGAGCGGCGGGAACCGGGAACGGGAACGGGAAC